GTTCTACCCTCCAATAAACGGGTCATAACCTACTATTTTGTAGGGTTTGGGGTCACAGGTAAACCCTAAACCCTAAACCCCTAAACCCTAAGCCCTAAACCCTAAACCCTAAACCCTAAACCCTCCTTCTTCAAGCCCTATCCGAATCAAAGCTGTTGCCACGCCTGTCCTCAGATGATCGTGTCGAACAGAAGGCCCTATGTGGGTTTAGGGTAGAGGGTCTAGGGTTTCCCATGTGGCGGAAGGGCTTTGGGTTTAGGGTTTAGGGTTTAGGGTTTAGGGTTTAGGGTTTTAGGGTTTAGGGTTTAGGGTTTAGGGTTTGGGGTTTGGGGCTTGAGACTCTGTCTAACAGAAGAGCCTATCTAAGGGAAGACTTTGCATAATCCTGACCTCAAACCCTAAACCCTAAACCCTAAACCCTAAACCCTAAACCCTAAACCCTAAACCCTAAACCCTAAACCCTAAACCCTAAACCTGACCTCTGTCCAAACATGGATTGAGCCAAGGTTTCCGAGCTCCAAGCATAGTGGGCTTTGGGCGCAGGGAAGTGGGTCAGGTCTGGTGTTTCGAGCCGGGGGTGGGGAGGAGTGGGTGGGCTGTGACCCTATAGCCCTAAACTTTATAAACCCTAAGCACTAAAACTTAAACTCAGGATTCCAAAGCCCAAACCCTAAACCCTAAACCCTAAACCAAACGCTGAAGCCTAACCGTGGCTTTCAAGAAGTATTGGCAAGGTGAAGCTCAGGTCTTGCACGGGCAAGTTCAGTATAGGTTTGGGATTTGGGGTTTAATTGTTTTCAGAGCTGAGGCTGTCCTCTGGGTTGCGTTTGTGTGATATGAGTTTGCCATGCCCGACGCGGTGCAGAACAGCCTTCTGCTGAATGTTACAGTTCGGTGTCTGTCTTAACTTCACGCAGAAGCCCCTAAACCCTAAACCCTAGACCGCGCTGAACATTTCATTCAGAGCAGACCGAAAGATTAAGGACCCGAAACCCCAAACCCTAAACCCTTAAATAGTGGCCGATCGTGTACTTTAGGGTTTAGGGTTTATTCTGCAGAGCGAAAGGGGGCCATGGCACTTTAAAAAGCTAAAGCCCCAATGTCGAACAAGTGCTGAATGTCTCCACAACGTTTGCACGAAGCCTGGGAGCTAGGTTCCCCGGTAGTGCCCCTTCTGCCCTTTTTCTGCTTGGGCTCCCTAATGAAAACCAAGTATAGGGGCCCTAAGAATTAGAACAGGGTTTTGGCGTATATTATGCCATAACTATAACAAGGAACCTCCCCAAAAAATAGTATAGATAGTTATTAAGGGCAGTAAGGCGACTATACTATTACAAGGAAGCATGGCATCACGGAGCTCTAGAGTTTCTCTTCGATGTGTTTTCTCATTTCTGGTTGGAAGGCCAAGAGGTTTGCTTCGTTGTCGAGCAGGTAACCTTTAACTTTTTTTGGGATACTACATCAATCCCTATATACGCTAAACCCTCAACCCTTAACCCCTGAATCCTAGACAGCACCTTGAGTTCCCCAATGATACTGGACAAGTAGGTTTGGCACTCCACGGAGTTAACCCTAAACCCTAAACCCTAAACCCTATTTATGCCGTTGTCCTGCGAAGCTGTGTGGCTTGCAGCGGGCCAGATCCCGGCGCTTCGGCCCACCATGGCGCAGCATGTCGGACATGTCGTCGAGCTGCAAAAATCGGACGAGCCAACGGATTCCTGGACTGCCCTGGCACAGCATGCGCTCTCGGGCTCCAGGCAAAATTCAGAGTCCTCGTCGATCCCACAGGCAGGCGGAGATCGTCTACCCGGTGTTGAAGAGTGGATGCTTGGCGATGAAGCTAATGCTTAAGGAGGGTCACCCTAGAGCGTACACCTGCAGCCCCCCGAGAATCTGCTTTTGTATGGGAATGTATACTATTATCGGAAATCATAACAGGGAGCCCTACAGAGTAGGTTTTTGGGTTTCAGGTAGGGTACCGGAGGACTCCAACCCCGACAACACAGCCCTCCGGGAGCTACATTTCCCTTGTAACCCTGCGCCTTCGGCCCTGTGGTTTCGAGGTTCAGGCGTGAGCTTCGCCTCTGGCTTAGACTGGGCTCGTGTTCAGGAATGTAACTTAAGTTACCATAGTAGCCATGGTTTAGGGTTTAGGGTTTAGGGACGTTGAGTGCAGGTCTGCACCCAGAACAGATTTTGGGCGGTGTTCCCGACTCGGTGGATGTATGCTTGGGTTGCCCACCGCGGACCATTGCTGCAGTTCGCACATCTCGCGCGAGCTCTGTGTCGCATAGGTCTCACTGCGGCATCAAAACATCACAACCCTAAACCCTAAACGCCAACCAAGCCCTAAACCTGATATCCCCACCCTTTTCCCGAAACCCCTAACATCTTAACCCCTAAACCCCACGAACCCTAAACCCTAAACGGAAGCCCTCTTTACACAGCTCATCGAAGCGTTGAAACCCTTTTGAAACCCCCCGGCATCCCTAGATGCACCGAAATCACAAAAACAAGTTCAACAGCTGTAAGTAAGCACCCCAGACCCCTAAGCCCTCAAACCCTAAAGCCCTAAACCCTAAACCCCACCCACTGCCTGCTTGGAGAAAAGGGGGCGTATTTCAACTCAAAACCCCCCTAAACCCTAAACCCTAAACCACGAAGCCCTAAACCACCAAACCCTGAACCCTAAACCC